TATATACATGCCGACTTTTTACTTATTAACAACAATTATTCTATAGTATCACAAGTAATACTACCTCTGTCCCATAAAATTCTTTTCACTTTGACTTGACACGGAGATTAACACTACAAGAAAAACGATTTTCAACGACCACCCTATAACGACGACTCTCACAAATTGGCGTTAAAAGTATCCTTTAACAATGACTAGTGAGTTCGTTGTTATTACAATTATCATTAACAACTATTTACGAAGAGTCATCATTATTCATTAATTTTTAGTCATCGTTATTACAGAACATTTTATGAAATTATATTTCTAAAACCAAATTAGAAAAGTAAAAAATTATTCTTTTTAAGATTGTTTTTATCGTAAAGATTAAGTATGGTGCCAAAATTTTCAATCTCAATTATTTTCGCTCCATAAGCGGGCCAGTAGTCCGTATACTATCAATTTTGATGAGCCGGTTAATTAACTGGGCAAAAACACCACATCGTTCAAAGACCTAATCTCTATTCTTCGCCGCGCTTATCTATTTTTCCCTAAGTTCTGGCTTCAATTCGATTAGTTGTTCATCGATCTCCGTCGCTTTGAACTAAAGCTGATCGTCTCTATGGCCGTGCTTATATGCCCTAAGGATCTTTAAAGGATTCTCAAAGAACCGCCTCGCTCGATCGGTAAGCGGCCATTGCTCCGTCTTTCTTCTCGCATAATCTTTCATGTCGTTCCATTACCTAATAAATCATCGTTGGATGGGCTAAATCTCCCATCGCTTGATCCATCTACCAGTGAACAAATTTAAGATTGTCTTTTGATTACTCCAGGTCAGTTTAGTCTTCAATATTTATTAGTTTTCAGCAATATAAATCGCTGATTTTCTTGGCTGATTTGGCCAGTAATCCGTATACTACTATCAATATTTAAGATTTTTGTTTCGTTTTTGTTTAATAGCTTTAAATTTTGAGAGAGGGCGTAATTTGTTTTTGAAACACTACATGATAATGTATATAACGTGTTTGTAAAAAGTCTAAACAAACGAGAAATTTTTTCTTCAAGCGAAATTGGATTTAATTGTGGATATACAAAGTATTGGTTTTTTAAGTTGTTAGACACTTGCCTTCCAACACTAAAATCTTAGTCGATATATTGAAGATTTCAGGAGATATTGTATGAGGTAAAATTATAAAGGTATTCCACCACTTTTTGTTTTTTTGCTGGTTCTCGGTCTTAGTTGATCTACTATACATCTTGGGCATGAATGAAGACCAGAAAAAGTTCATAAAACATATAGAAAAGACTAAGAAAAACTTAACGCGGAAGTTCTTATGCCCTTTTCTTAAATGATACTTGGGCCGCTTGTTACAAAAGAAATATGAGGATGTATTTTTTGTTGGGGCAGCTTCTATTTTCCCTTGTTAGGCATGATTGTTTTATCTTTATTATTTAAAAATCTTAGTAATCTTATCTTCTATTTTCAGGGCAAGAGTGAGAAGTGTTTAACCTCTCTTCAGGATCCACCCACTGTTGCCCGCCACCACTGACTGCCCACTGCTTCTATCTGCTCTCCATCTTCCACCATATTTCAGTAGAAATGCTTATTCTGCTACATCTTTGATATATAACCATTATAATACGTAGGGTTTGATGTTTACATAATTTTTATTCAGGCTTCATCTATGAAGTATAATCAGCGTGTTCTTTTGTTGGATTTAACTGGTGCAGGTTAACCCACTTTTATAAAGTTTATGGCTACAGATCTTGGTACAAATCTTAAATCGCTAGTGTGGACCTGCTACTGCTCTAATGATGCTCAAAGAGCTAAAACTCAAAAGCCAATTAAGAAATGAACATGGATGAGAAACCCAAGATAAACCAATTGGTTGTTTATTGATTATGAAGAGTAAGGCTAAGCTTTTACTCAATTTAAACAGAACATAAAAGGGTCACATAACCATTAGCTCACTTTTCACTAGTTTTATTTTTTGAGTTGATGGAGATTGCTATATCACTAATATACTAGCATTATTAGAATGCATAGTTCTATAAGTACAAATTTCCTTTATAACTCAAAAGTGACAAAATAGCATTAATTATGTGTGTGCTCTTTTGAAGAAGCTGTAAATATAGGTGCTCAAATTTACATAATGATTATTAAAAATGGTTATTTAATACACTATTGATCAATGCAGATATATGTTGGTCGCATGGAGTCAAAGGTGAGTTTTTCTCTATATATGATGCCCTCATAAAATATATTTTTCATACTCGAATGCCCTAATTAGATGGTCATATTGTTTTGTAGTTCACTGTTTAAACTACAAAACAATATGTAAGTTTAAACTTACATATGTTCTACCTAATCGCTCCCAGGCCTAAATATAGGTGCTTTCAAATGTCTATCACCTTCTAGGCCCATCAAAAGCATCCTTTTTCTTTTACTGAAGGCTGCTCATAGTTAACCTCATACACTTCTCTAACTTAGAATTGATTTTCTTACTTTTCATGATCAATTGCTTTTCTATTGCCTCCTTATGAATTTAGCAACTTGTCATTTTCATAACAGACTATTATTTGGTGCTCCTAAAATAGTTCTAGCTTTCATTGTTGATATTGTAATTCTACCTTTATTTTCCTTGCCGAATACTTTATAAAATAATATCCTTCTTTCTTCTATGGATCATTATTTATTTTGCAAGATGTTATCTTTAAAGGAATATGCACTTTGAGGTAAAAGTTTAAGAGTTTCCCATGTTTAAAAATTAGATACATCAATTAACATGTTAGATATAATTAAGCTTTATACGATATGTTATATGTGTTATAAAATAACTAACGCAGTAAACTGATTTCATTAAAAACTGTTTTCTATTTAGATTGTTTTATACTTTCTAAATATATACTACGTAGTAAATTAATTATTAACTTTTATTATTTCTCGTTGATAAATAGGAAGGTACCTAATCTCACTATTAAGGCGATCTTGTTATTGTTGTCATAGTGTTAAATTAGGAAGTGTTATATTGAGTTTGATTATTTGATCCCGATACTTGTGTTACATGTGGTTTGTTACATGCAATAATGTTGTTGAGAAATTGTAGCAGTTCCTTTGATTGATTTGATGAATAATTGAATGAAATGGAGAGTTGCAGCAATGTCGTTAAGAAGCTGCAGCATTGCCGATGAGAAGTTGCAGCAGTGTTGATGAATTGCTAGTTTTTGATTTAGTATTGTCTTATTCATTTTGTTGATGATTCGTACATATGTTTTAGAATAAAGTATTGTTTGTTTTGTTTATGTGGATGATGATTATTGTGTCAACTTACAACAATTTTCACGTTTAAAGACATTTATTGACTATTCGATGTATTGGAACTTGGAAGATCGAAACTTTAATTTGATATATACTGCATTTTTTGTTAATATTATCAATATTATAATTTTTAAAAACTTAACATATAGATTGTTAAAGAAATGTTTACGTGGGGTTGTGGTGGTTATTATAAAACGATTATCATTATTTACATATAATGAATGATTAAATATCTTGTCGTTATTAAGTAACGATGAGTGAATATATTGTTGTTAATAAGTAACGACGAGGTTGTATATTGTTGTTAATAACTAACGATGAGATTGTATATTGTCGTTAATTGTTAAATATTATTAACGACGAACTTGGTCGTTAAAATCAATAACGACGGAGCCTATAACAACCACTTGAGGACAAAAATAAAGTGGTCGCTAAAAGCTATAACGACCAACTTTTGAGCCTATAACGACAATATTTTTCATTGTTAAAAGCCTTTTTTCTAGTAGTGTAAGAAAGTGGAAATGTATCGTTGTGGTTGTGTAAGAAAAAGGTGAAATGAATGTGAACCACATAAATTACCCAAAAATGGTAAGTGAGAAAATTTTTTGGGGACGATCCAAAAAGGAAAGTGGTACGTATTTTATGGGACGGAGGAAGTAATATTTTGTTTGTTGTATAGACAAAAATTGTATGTTCATAAATAAAAAATGGAACGTACACAAGACATGTACAAACCAACGTATACAAAACGAAAAGTTCAACCATGAGTAGCTAAGCTAGTGCACTGATTGTGTTCAATCTACTGTTGTGAACTCCAATAGTTTAGGAGTATTGTCTTGCCATGAAGAAGTTTAGGAGTACGTATTTATCACAGGAGTAAATAAAATGTGAACTGTTAAATTACTTCATACTCCTTAGTATATTGGGATACTCCTCATACTCCCTCCTTTAAAATTTTGCCAATTTTCTTTCTTTGAATGTCTCACTAACTTTGGCTCTTTTCGTTTTAAGTATAGAATTTGTGATTCCAGATAGTTCTCTTTCCTCTGCACAAATCTCAACCACACAGTTTTAATTTTTAATTCCCGTGTCGGCCAAACTTGACAAAAATTTAAGGGACGGAGGGAGTATAAGATTGAATTGAATGGAACCTTTGGTCTTAAAGTCAACTTGAAAAGATAAAAAAAATCTTGTTAAAAATTACTCCCTACTTCCCATAAAGTAGTACCTGATTTCCTTATTGAGACGTTTCAAAAAATAGTTCTCATTTTCCTTTTTAGAAAGTTTTGTGTGGCTATCATTCATTTACCTTTTTCTTACTCAACCACAACCATACATTTTCACTTTATTCTCAGTTCCTTAAACTCCGATCCAAATCCAAATGGGTACAATTTTATGGGACAGATGGAGTATTTAGTGGAAAATATGAATGAAACATTTTTTCTCAATTGACTGAAATTATTGCAAATGTTCATTTTATATACTTCGTATGTTTTATACTCCATATACTTTTTTCTTGATAAAATATATCTTAAATGGATCAACCGATTCAATTGTTGCAGCTAAAATTTAACCTGTTTTAACTTTTAACAGATTTAAGTAATTGGGTCCATTTGAATGTGGCGAAACGTTCTAAACAAGAAGTATATTAGCAAAATACGATAAAAAGATAGGAATGTTTATGAAATAATTGTTCCATGATGATGTCACTTACCATTACTCTTATATTTATCCGTTTCTGATCGGAGCCACAGCCATCCAAACACTTTCTTCACTAGAGAGCATTTCTTTTCTTTGCTTTTCTTCTTCTTCTTTCCTATTCGCAAGTATAGCAGAAAAAGAAAAATGAGTTGCAATGGTTGCAAGGTGCTTCGAAGAGGATGTGGGCCCAATTGCATCCTTAGACCGTGTTTGGATGAGTTCGATAACGCTCAAGCCCAAGCTAACGCCACTCTCTTCGTCTCCAAATTCTTCGGCCGTGCCGACCTGATGTCGTTCATCTCCTCCGTCCCCGTCCACCGCAGACCCGGTATACCCAAACACCACCTCTACGTCAACTCCAATTTCATTTTTATTGAATTTTGTGTCTGAAATTCAAAATCGGCTGCATATATAATCTGGGTTTTTTATGAAAATTAAAGCAGCTCTGTTTAGGTCGTTGTTATACGAAGCATGTGGACGGACGGTGAATCCGGTGGGCGGTGCGGTGGGGCTTCTCTCCACCGGAAATTGGCACTTGTGCGTACAAGCGGTGGAGACTGTTCTCTCCGGCGGAGCTCTGCAGCCGATCGCGGCCGATTGTCTAAACCCTCCAAATCCTCGGGAACCATCAGGACCGTTCCAGAAGAGCGCGTGGAGTCGTCCAGACCATTCCGTGGTTACCCAATCTCAGCCGTCACATCTCTGGAGCCGTCCGTTGCCGACGATCAACGGCGTTGCGCAGCAGAAACGGATCCCCGCGGAGACGTCATCATCGGAGGTGTATGGAAGTTCCGAGAGTGTGTGGCGGGGCGTGAGAGACGCCTCCGGGAAAGAGCCAAAGCTTCTCAACCTCTTTTTTTGATTAGTTAAAGAATAAAGTCACCGGAATCATCAGTTTTGGTATTGGAGTTTAATTTTGGTGGACTCAGTGAGTCGGAATCGGCAAATATGATCTGAGTTCCTGCGTTTCTAACTATGTCGAGCGGATTAAAGTTATCTTTTTCGCTCAATGAGCAATGAATAAACATTTTCCCTACCTATAATCATACTATTCCTAAACCAATTATCTACATATATTTCCATTCAAAAGATGGTACACTAACTCCCCATTTCTCATTATGATTATCATGATAATCATGCCTATAAGAGTGTTGAACCATAAATACAGGAGTCTTGAATTCCATATCATTAAACATGCATATAAATTTATCAAGAGATCTAAATTATACAAAAAAGTTAAAAAATTTAACCACTATTTATATTTTGCTCACTTTTGTGTATGTCCCTAGTTGTCCGTCTACAAGTAGGCATGGACTCGGTCCGGGCCGGGCCGGGCATGACCGGGCTTTTTTTGGATTCTTGAGGCCCGGAACCGGCCCAGGTAGCTACCGGGTCCAAGTCGGGCCGGGTCGGCTACATTTTTTTATTTTCTAACTACTTCCTGCCCCCCACCCCCTCCCACACCCCAAACTCCTCCAAAACACTCAGTCCAATCCATTTACCTCCCTAAGAATTTGCAAAAAAAATTGGCCCAGACCCGACCCGGCCGGTTCATTTTTTTTAGACCCGGGGCCCGTCCAGGCTGGTTCATTTTTTTTAGACCCAGGGTCCGAACCAGGCACGGACCCGGGCATCGGGCCGGGCCAGGACGGAACAGTACCAGGTCGAGCCGGTTACGGGCTGGTTGACCCGGCCCGAGTCCATCCCTATCTATAAGGCATGTTATGAACGAATTGCATGTGTAGATAGAGAACTAACGGGAATATATAAAATGTGTACAAAATATGTGTACCAACAAACCAAGCATTCCAGCTCAACTGGTTGTGAGGTTACCGTACCTAGTGGGAGATCTCGAGTTCGAAACCCATTAGACACATAAGGGTTTGAAACTCAATGGAGTGAGTTTCAGTCCTGATTACTCCAGACCCTCTCCCCCAGACCCCTGGAGTAAAAAAATATGTGCACCAACAATATTTGTGATGGATTTATACTTTTCTCGTGAATAAAATTTGAGTCATCACACATTGATAAAAAGGCCGTAATAAGATAGCAATTGAAGAACAATGCTACTATAGTAGTAGTATGGCTCAACTCTTGGCATTTTTATTACTAAATTAAAGATTGTTTAATGTGACTAGTGAAAGAATACTAATGTAATCATACTAACTTATGTTCATGGTTAAACTTAAGTTATCATGACATTACATTATAGTAATTAGTAGTCATATTTATGTAAATAAGTTTTATTTTAGTAATATTTTTGAAAATCTCCTTTTTTTTAAATGAGCTGCATGTATACCTACAAAATGTACGGGCATATGCAAAACATAATTAAATGAATTTTCCTTCTTGTTTACCAATTTGTCCACTCTTTAATTTCTCTTTTATACATCATTTCAGTTAAGTTTTATTTAAGTCATGGTAGACTTGACTAATTACACAATATTTTAGTGTTGTTAGAGAAAATTAACTTTTATCTAAATTAATTTTATTTTGACCTTGTTAAGATTGAAATGAATTAAGACTACAAGAAACATATACGGAGTACAATATAAAAAATTCACTCAGGTTATGATGGTAACAATTCATCTAAATGAATGATGCAAGCTAACATCTTAGCTAGGCTAAGAATGCACCTCATTTAACTCATGTCGATATAATTATATGAAGTCCACATATGGGATGAGTCAGATTATTGGCATGTAGTTATCTTAAATTCTTTAACAAATCTATGCCATAACTCTTTTGGTAAACATTGATCTCAGCTAAATAAATAAACAAGTTAGAAACCACAATTACCACCGTGTTTTTTCTATAGTTTTTTGTGTCAGTTATTTTCACTACAAAAAAATACGGGATTAAAATGGATTTGGTACAAATTGATGGATGGTTTCGTGTAAAATAACTTATACTAAAGTGCTTTTGATACGGATTTTGCGGATGCCTGCCAACTCCTCTGAATTTTGGCAAATCCCATGTTAATCCCGAGTTTTGTGAAGTGTTTGATAAATCTAATTAATACGGAGTGTTAGTATAAATTCATTGTCGTCAATCCCAACTCATTAAAATCAGGGTGCTAATAATGATGTAATGATGGTACTAGGGGAATATTTAAGTTGAGCTAGATTTTGTTTCCCTTCATCCTTCCTGCATAAAAATGCTCTGTGAAGAGAAATTGTCTTCGTCGGCTTCCCTGGTTTTGTCCGATTTCACAACACTTTTCCACACATGCTTTTTCACAATACTCGGAGCCTCGTTTGTGGTAGCGTATTGCCAAGTTATTTAATTAATTAATAATATAATACTCTTTTTTATACTTAATTAACTTTACATTTTCCTTTTTGAGCTGTTTCATATTAAACTTTACACTTCCTTATTTGCCTTATTTATCAAACAAATCTACATCAAACAGTGCATAACAGTGTCAAACAGTGTCAAACAATGTACGTTACAGTAAAGTCAAATTTATTTTCTTAATACGTGTGAAGTTAAAGTGTAAAATTTAATAACAACACAAGTAAGACCACAATAAATACTTTAGATTGACAACCTTAGTATATGACATAAAGGAACATGTCCGATTCATTGGGTGCGGTACACATCATCATGGGCCAACATTTCTTCTCCACCACCCCTTCTGCGATTTACATCACCACATTATGAAAAAGGTGCACATCCACATATATGCATAAATGAGAAATGAGAATGAAAAATGGTTTGTGGTTGAGATTTGTGGAGAAGAATGAGAAATGTGCAGAATCACAAATTAGTTGCTTTAGTAGGAAAGTCATAAAGTTTTTTGGGACAACCGAAAAAGGGAAGTTGGCAAAATCTAATGGGACAGGGGAGTATATATGTAGGGCCTGTTTGACACTCAGCGGTCAGCGGTTAGCGGATTCTATTAGCGGGTAGTAAATAGCGGATTTGATCAGCGGATTTGACCAGCGGATTAGTTTGGCGGGTTGCAAAAAGATGTTTGATAATTTAGTTGTTCAGTTGTAGCGGTTAGTAGATAAAAAGACCAAAAGGGACATTATAAAATTTAAGCATGTGTTTTTTGTTTAATACGACGTATGAGTTTCGGACTATACTAATTTTAAAATTAACTAATTAATAAATAATAGTATGATAATCCTCTATAAAAAATATGATAATAAGAAGTGAAACTATAGTGCAGTGGTGTGATATGTGGTCATGATTTTTGAAAACCGCAGAAGGATAAATAACTTGAAAAATTGCAAATCTACAGAGTATTACATAGCTACGTATTTATAAATATCAATACTTGTATAAATCAAAAGTCAAAACAGAGATCCAATAGATGAAGGATCAGTATATACGTACAGAAGGAAGGCACCGAACGAAAGAAACCGCAGGCTTCAAGTGGCTGCTGCAAAACAGAATACGAAGATGAGAGGATAATCTATGGAATTTTATATTTGTTTCAATCCACCAAAACCTAAATGCTCCGATTTGTAGCGTTTTTTGTTTTGGCGGCTTCATCCCAAACGCCGGTGCTAAACTGCATTTGCCAAACGGAATAAAAACAGAGGTTTGAGTCCTCCGAAACGCCAAAGCAGTCAAAGACGCCGATTTTGGATTGAAACGCCGATATCTAAACGAAGCCGTAGATACATATATTGAGTCCCATTCCGGTGCGTCCGGCCGCACAAGAAGCGCCGTCCAGCCGACGGCTTTTGGCCGCCTTCCTGAGAATTTTTTGATGAAATTTTTATGGCATGTTCATCATCAAGTCTAGTTTATCCACAAAAGATTCAGCTAAAAATTCAATCCGCAAGGTCGTCAAATGATTTTTTGAAGTTAACTGTGCAAAATTATACATAGAAAAACGCAGTTAACTTCCAAAAATCATTTGACGACCTTCCGGATTAAGTTTTTAGCTGATTTTTTTTATGCATAAACTAGACTTGATGAGGAACATGGCATAAAAATTTCATCAAAAAATTCCACCGAGAAGATGGCCAAAAGCCATCCGCCGGACGGCCCCTCTGGTGCGGCCGGACACACATGAATACTCCTCTACGTACATATATTCATGATCAAGATGTTTAAATGACTGTGCATGCAAATAACCGTAATTCCTCAAGAGGTAAATCACTAAATAACATGAAGTGCACTTAGATCTAAGTTTCCTAATAATATCAAATATCAACTAGCACTAACAGCTATCTCAAGTGCTTTTCGTGTTCTATGAAGGGGACGTCAACACAAAACCTTATGACCCAAAGTTCTTAATACCCCCTTCTTTCAGAACGAGAACCAGGAAAAAAATGCATATATTTTTTCAGAACTAGAACCGTATGCAAATGTGCTTGTATCTAGTGGCGGATTCAGAGATTTGTGAGAACGGGGCACATTAGATGTAGGGTGTGTTTTGGAAAATAAAGAAAATTAATTAAAATAAATTAATTAAATAAAATGACTAGAGAAAAACAAGAAAGGAGATGAAGCAGAATTAGCCAAAGCTCGTGCTACGCACGATTTCCTTAAAACGTATTTGTTGCCTCCCACGGTGCTAGGAGCGTTGCAACAATCGTTTCCCAGGATACGATGACTACGAACTAATGTTTGAGCACACACAAACAAGAGTTCCAGCGAACGAGAACCAAGTATGAACACAGAAGGAATTTTGGGAGTAGCTGGAAGAGTTTTTAGCTCAAGAAAACGTGAGGAAAGTGTTGTGCGTTGTCAAACCGTGTGTTTGTTGCAAAGCACCTGCCAGCTATTTATAGGAGGATTTGTTGTGTGTTAAATGGGGTGTTAATGGACCTGAACGTTGGACATCAATGACCAGTCCGTTGGGCATTGAATCGTTCATAAACTGTCCATTTAACGCTGCATTAAAAGAGAAGAACGTTGGGCATTAATTGTTGTAACGGAAGAAATGCGTGACAGAAGACCCCTTGGAGGGGTTCTGTCCGAAGCCAACAGAACACCCCTCGGAGGGTTTCTGTCCGTATCTCTTGAGAGATAGATTTTTGGACGGCATTCGTGTCCGCAGGTCGCCCGCGCACACGAGTCGGGGTTTTTCTTCTCCGTTTCGGGATTTGATCGGCACCCCCCCCCCCTGCGCGTAAGAGAGAGCCTTTCCCTTTAGGAATCTTAACTCTTTAAAAGAGGCTTCCCTTTATAAGGGGGTGAAAATCCCTTGAGTTTTTCGGTGTGGGATAAAACACACTAGAAACTCATCATTTTTCCCAGTTTTTCCATTTCAACGAGTGAACTTTGAGAATCAATTTCTCATTCACCCGTTATCCGTTTTGAGCGTACCATATATCGAATTGTAGCCCTTAACAAGGACAATCCGAAACCACTTTGACCCGATCCAAATCGGAAGTAGACCCCACTCAAATAATTGCCCCAAAATGACCATTTAATGCAATTTTTAACACATTTTTCCAACATTAGACACTAAACATAGTATATAATAAAAAAAATCTTAGTCCCAAGCGGGATAATGGTTTTTACCTTAAGTGCTACTAGTGAATTTCTGAGCCCGAAACGGGAATGTACATGCATGTCTATGTTTATACATATATAATTATTCTATCCTATCTACTACTCCGTAGTAGTCTAGTACTATGCTTTTACATACAAAACAAACTAACACTCGTGGCGTTTCTCCACCCTCCATTGAGTGATTCTTCCGTCTTTATTATGCAAATTGTAGTACAATTCTCTAGAATTAGTAGAGTTTATTTGTTCCTATAAAAAGAATTAACTCCACTTCCAAATTCCAATCTCAAATTAGGTCCACATTTTCAAATTTGCCCCATTTTATTCCATTACTATTGTTTATTGTTTCATTTCTACTTCTGAACTTTACCTAATTTCTTACACGAATAAATTTTATTTTAAGTCCTATTAGTATAGCATCAATTCCATAATTAGTCCAATTTTTAAACTTTGACCACTTTTAATACATGGCTATTGCTTTTGACCCATATATGGTCACTTTGTTGTAGGCCTGTACAAACACGGGCTCGGAACGTGTTTGGGCCGAGCTTTATCTAAAATTTCTGTTCATTTATGTGTGCGGGAGCGGCCCGACCCGGCCCGGATCAAAGTGGGCCACCTAGCTCCCATGTCCAAGCCCACCGATAGTAGCGGGCCGGATATTCTACCGAGCCGCCCGGCCCGGAAAAGTTTACCGTTGTTCAAATCTAATGAAAAAGTTGATATCATTTTTAAAATAACATCGCACCATTTTAAAAGTAATTAATGAACAAACTAATACTACCTCCGTTCTTAAATAAATGCAACACTTTAACTTTTACACTATTCACATGTTCTACTTTGACTACGTTTTATTTATTAATGTAACAATATTATTTTATGAAAAAAATATTGTTAAACTTGTCTCATTGTAAATTTTCATTATCTAATTTTTTTAATTTTTTACTAATACAAAATCATTTATATTAATGGTCAAAGTTGTGTCTCGGCAAGTGTGAAATGTTGACCGTTGCATTTATTTAAGAACGGAGGAAGTATAAGTATGCCTTCATGATATACACAAACTATTTTGAACAATTGATCTGCTCTAGTAATCTAGTATGTTTTTTGTTTGGCCGCTCAACTGTTACTCTGCCGACCAAATGGGAGTATGGTTAATTAGATCTTCTTTGGGGCCATTAATATGATGGGTAATAGCAAGTAGGGTTCACTTAGGGATGGACCCAACCGGTTCGGCCCGGCCCAGAATCGGCCCGGCCCGCTACTGTGCGGGCCTGAACCGGCCCGGTTGGTGCTAACTGGGCCCGAGCTTTTACCCGATTGGAGCGGGTTGGGCGGGGCATGCTCGGGCCACGTTTTCCTTGAACCGGTCCGGGCTTTTTTTTGTTTTTTTCAATTTTGTTTTGTTTTTCTTGGTTAGGGCTGGGTGTTTTGGGGGAGTTTGGGGGTAAGGTGAAGGGGGGGGGGGGGGTCGAGGGTTAATTAGAAAGCAAAAAAAAAACATAGAACCGGGCCCGAGCCGGACCGGGCCGGTTCTGGTTCACCCTTTCCCAAAAAAAAGTCCGCCCAGGCCCGACCCGGGTCCACCCTTAGGTTCACTAATGGGAAATAAGGAGTAAGTAATACGAAGTACTCCGTAAATAATATGGTTCATTGTGTACGTACTAGTATAGATATAAATATATATAATATGCATTATATAAGTTAATAATAGTAATATGTACTACATATATTATTAATTTTTCGTGCCGAGCTGTTTGGCCCGAACGGGCCTACAATATAACCCAAACCCGCCCATATTTTTACTGGTCGGGCTCGGGCATGCCCGGTGGGCAATTATACTTGTTCAGACCCGCCCATTTGTATGGGCGGGCTGGACAGGCCAGGCGGGCCGACCCATGTTTGTATAGATCTACTTTGTTGATATATTTTCGATGGTTAAAATCATCATAAAGGTGTCAAAAAATGGATGAAAAGACCACACATAGTCAAGAAAAACTAGGCAAATTCCAAAAGTGTACAAAGTGAAAAAAGGTGAAGTAAATGTATTATCAACATAAAATTGGGATGTTTTTACTTGAACTGGAATTTTCTGATCTCATCTGGTCTCGAAAATGTAAGGTCTTTATGTATTTTATAACTTTCCAAATCTGAACTGATGTGACTAGGGGTGGACTCGGGCCGGACCAACCGGACCGACCCGCTACTGTGCGGGTCCGGGCCGGCCCGCTACTGTGCGGGTCCAGGCCGGCCCGGTGAACCGGTTGGTTGGCCGGTTCGGGCCACCCGGCCCGATGGGATCTCGGTTCGGGCTCGGGCCCTTCAAAAGGTGAACCGGCCCGGCCGGTTCGGGCCCGAGCCGGGCCAATTTTAATTTTTTTTTTTTTGAATTTTTTTTAAGTTTTTGGGTTGGGCTGGGTATTTTGGGCCATTTGAGGTGGTTAGTGTTGGTTTGGGGGTGAGGGGGATGGTTGGGGGTTAACTAGGAAAAGCCCAAAAAAAAATATAACCGAGGCCCGGCCCAGCCCGGCCCGGACCCGGAGGTTACCCGGGCCGGTTCCGAGCCTGCCCTTCATGAACCGAGGCTCAGCCAAGCCCAAGCCCAAGCCCGAACCAGGCCCGAACCGGAACCGGTCCACCCCTAGATGTGACATGACACTAAAAACGGTTCAAGTAAAAACATCCCAATATTATTATCATCATTATGTCAGCAAAATGGATGGGCCCCAATAGAGTAGCCGTATAAAGGCAACGCTTCACCTAAAACTTCTGGCGTCCACAAAAAGCCCACAGGCCACACTACCAATTACCAAAAGAAACCAGAATCGTGAAAAGCCCACAATACTGGAAATCATCCAAAAGTTTGGGGATCATGTCAAAGAGATAATTCTTCTTATCATTCCCATTATCACACTTCACACGCCCACACTGACAAACATACACCCACACACAGCACAGGATTCTTGGGAGGACAGCACCCAGAGAGATACTACCGCTAGTGCAGCAACCCCACACAAAGAATAAGGGGAGATTTGATGCCAAGATATTTGGAGATGTGGAAGTATTTATACATTTACAAATATAACCGGAAAACCTATAAATCAAAACCAATTAAAAAAGTAATTTCATCAAATGAAAAAATAAAAAAACACAGTGCAGTACATTCTTAGAGTCGCCTGACACTGTTTAACACTCTAACTAACAAGCAGCTTTGTAATAGTAATTGATCACTGTCGCTTGAGCGTCACTTTGGTTATGGAACGGAGTTGTGTTGGTTGGTTGAAGTTAGAGGATCAATCATTGTAAGAAGCAGTCAGAGAGATGTGGCGGTTTGCACTTCTGTTGTTGAGCCAGATAGGTTGCGCTTCGGCTGCAACAGATGTGTCCTTAGGCTACAATGCTTCACCTGTTTATTTTTTTTACTCTACGTTAGCAATAAATTCTCCTATTGCTAACTCTGTGGATTACATGATAACAAAATATCAATGCAATTTTACAGTTCTGCTCAATTTCTAAAGTCGAGCTAGGCAGTGGTCAATTAGGCGAATATAATTATTCCCAATCCAACCTATTTGCCCCGTTCAGTTGTAATGATATCATTTGATGATTAATTATAAACCAAACTAAAATTAGGCGAATATAATTAGTCATGAGTAAACCAAACTTCGTAAAAAAGTATAGCTTTGAATGTATATAAACTATCTATCTCCATAACTAAAATTACAAACCTACATTTTCTTTTAATTTTTTATTAATCATTTATTACTTGTTACTTTAGAACAAAATATACTCGTATCATTAAGAACCATATGAATTGTTTTTATTACCAAAAATATAAGTAATTAATAAAATGATTATATGAATGATAAATATTTAAATATAGCTCCCTGGGCAGTCTAGATGCTAGGCAGCAGGCCATCGTCAGACTAACGCTGGTATTACTTGTTCCTCTTAGCCTACATTTGGAATAAGGAAAATGGTAGTGATGGGAGGAAATATCAAGAAAAATGGTTTCTTAATGTTCCAGTTTACCTACGCTTGGAAATATGAAGAAAAATCAAATATGATTAAAGCTTTTTAACATTTATATATATTTAGATTTCTTAGTGTTTCTATAAACGAAAAATATTAATAAAATGAGATTGACCAAATATCTAAAGTTGATTAATGGGTCAGAACCTATTTTCTCCTTAAAAAAATCCTTCCAAATTTCCTTTCATCTTTCCTCCCAGTTTTCTTTCCCTGTCATTTTACAGTTTCCATACGAACCCTAAGTCCCTAACAGAATCTATTTGTAATGAAAGGCTTTATATGCTAGATCTTTAGCTAGCAGTGGAATGAAATACATGGGTACCTGAATCGCTGCCACCATGGACAAGAGCTCTTTACATTTATCAAGTGAAGCACACTCTAGGGAAGCTGTGTTAGATAGCTCATTTACCAATGCATTCGTGTGCTCAACCTGTTAGTTGGCAAAATGCATTAAAATTTGAACTGGTAATCCAACTCAAGACATTTACCAATGCATTCGTGTGCTCAACCTGTTAGTTGGCAAAATGCATTAAAATTTGAACTGGTAATCCAACTCAAGACGTACCAATGAGGATGGCATGTGTTGCCTAATGTCTTAGGATTGCCACAACAAGAACATGTCTCTTCGCAAGAAAAGCAAACACTACTTCGCAACCAACTCTACATTTATATAGATCATTTTGCCTCTTTTGAAGTAATAACACGTCCTCATATCAACTCAAAGTTTAACATATTGCGCTTCTATTAAGAAAATCTAATACAAAATTAAGGCTAGTGAAATCATGCATTTCTAATCCTGTAGAAAATCAAACATTACTGGATAAAAGATATCACAAGAATCAAATTTACAGGTGTCCATCTTGAACGGTCCCTATACTATGCCAGTTGATTCTCTGCCATTTCTGTTATATTTTTTGCTTAAATAAAGTTCTAATCAAACCTTTTAGGATCAATAACCCTTACATGGCACTTCTTAACTAGATTCTTTAAATTCGCGATTACAGTCTACCAAATCAAATATTTTAGTCTCTAGTTTTATTCTCAGGGTTACGGATCGAAATATATATATATATATCAAAATAAAATGGGGCACCTTGGTATTGAAGGCAATAAACAAACATTCGTGAAAGGAAGTCCAAAAAGTGCATATTTGATTTGTTTACTTTAAGAATGGAATAACCTTAGGAAGAAGAGAGCATATCGAAGACGCCATTGCTTGCATCACATCAACAGTTGAGCAGATGGCTTCTTTTATCTTTTGAATATCTGCCTGCAAATGGATTTTCAAAAAAAAAACTTAGCGGTAGGTTTTCAAGGAGGGCCCTGTATCCTGAAAATATTGGTGTGTGAGAGGAAATGAAAACGACAAGTCCTTTGACATGAGATTTGTTTTTTGAAGATGTACCCTAGCACCATCAACAACAGGTAGGCGAATAGTGCTAGCCTCCAGAGCACATATAGCAGCTGACAATGAACTGCAATGCTCTTCATCAATGTGACCCCAACTTTCCAAAATAGGAACCTATATTCAATTCAGATTGATTAGAATTTTAGTAAAGGCCAATTAAAGTTCATCAAAATACAGCATTTTGTTTATATTTTTCCGTTAAAGATGCAAATATTATTAAAACAAGTTCTCGTGGAATTATTTCCTTTTATAGTTTTACATAACCACAGACTTTTAATAAATGTCTTACTTGTTGCTTGAAGACGGAATACAACTTCAGATTGTGCTTCAATAAAAGCAGTTCTGTTTTTTTAGATCTAACAGAATGACGTAACTTTGAAGTAGCCAAATATGCGTCATATAGGGTTCTCTGGAGCAAAAGGTAAGAGTGAGGTGATATACATTCAAACTGAAGGCCACGACATAAAGACGCTATCAACAAATGGATCCAGTGAATAATGCAATAAAATTTCTGAACATATAAGTTGTCAACAACAGATGGGATTCGAGAGATGGATTCACAAGTTGCCTTCATTTGTTCAAAGAGCAACTCAATAGTCATGCATAAGAACCAAATTTTATTTCCTAAAATAGCTTAATTGATATGATAACCACTAGTAATCCATCTAATCTGTTAAGATTCAATCCAAAATAGCTCTTGAACTACACAATGAAAGTTTTATTATGAGGGAAGTTTGCCTCATTTTTTCCTTCTGATGTCCAAATTTCATGTCCAGCAACTCCAAATTAAAAGCAGACAGGTGAACAGAAATCCTTATTATTGAACACAAATTATTTGATCAGATAGTAAACTTCCCTTCATGTACCAATTATGCATACCTAAAGCTTTATAGCTTCCTCTTTTTATATGCAGACTACGTATGACTTGAAACCTGTATATGAATTATGGCAAGTTTAGAGCTTACCTCAGCATTTTCCGTGTGTACATAACAAGCTACCTCTGCTCTTGCATTGATAAAGCACCATTGCAGGTGCCGATTATACAATAGCCTCAACTCAAGTGCATCAGCAACCTGATTCTCACCTGCCTTCCCTTTCCTGATGACATCAGTAGCAAAGCTCAAAGTTGAAGTAGGTGTGCCATTCAAAGTATTGGTCATTTTAGCCACATCACCACTTCTTGTTCTGGTTGGACTTGGCATCCCCCTCAGAGGATAATTAGGTGTCATAGGTAACGCCTTACTGGGAGAAGCAGGTCGAAGACGAAGAGGAGATGAAAATCCTCGACTGGTAGGTGAGAAGACTTGCTTGTCATTTGCATATTTCTTATGATGAATCTGCTTCGAAGGAGACATTGATTTATATACATTGCTTTTCGAGTCTGGTGTGTTTTGCTCTGGGAGTGGTAAGACCTTGCCCAGTCCTAGGCTTAGATGAGCTACAGAACCACCTTCTTGCCCACTTGAAGCACTCCCTGATGAGATACTTTCACCATCAGAGGCTTCACAGACCAAACCAGAACCAACCTTCCTCTGTGGCTTAACATTGAAACTTTCAGATTTTGGTTTGCCCTGAACCCTGGCTTGGTTATTCTCAAAACATAATGGAACTACTCTTCTGGATCCAAATCCAAATCCAAATCCATCATTACCACAATCCAAGCTCTGAGTTAAGAAACATGAATTTGGCTTTAACCTTCCAGGCCACCTCAGTTGATCACTAGGCTTCGCGTTATTAATTCGATCCTTAGCAGCCGAGGACTGTACCGTTAGTCTCCTCTCCGGTGTACCTCTCTTAGGGCTGCTTAGATTATTCGCAGACTTAACCTTACTAAATGGCAGCGGAAAAGATTCTCTCTGAAAAGACACGGACAAACTCTTGGTAGACGTAGTCAACAGCAGCTTAGCCGCCTCAGACATCTCCACCCTCACGGGCGTCCCCGGCCTGCGCCTGTCCGCAGACAGAGACCGCTTAACAGAAGCTGCATTCTGTATAGGCTTTGCCGCCGGTCTCTCCGCCCTCGTCAATACCGACGATCTATCCTTCCTTGACGAAACGGAGTATGACGGCGAAAATGAACTGGATGAGTTGGAAGATGACGTAGTTGATGTAGAAATGGTTGGCAGAGAGCTCGACTGGTACCGTGAAGTAACCTCTCTGGATTTCGGTTTTCTCGCAGTTCCATTCCCAGCTTCGGATGGCAACAATGTCTGCCTCTTCTGATTCTGATAATTCACTTTAGGGTTTGGCGTTTTAGTCGTCGACACAGCAGTCAACACCATTCTACTCCCTCAATCCTCACATCTCTCTCACTGATTTCTGTCTCTACAATATCAATCTCACAATCCAGATGCTAACTTAAAGCAGATTTATAGTAAATTACATAAATCAACAATCAATCAGAGTATGTATAGTTTAAAGTGAATTAACATACGCAAATAATGTTTATGAGAGAACAGGCACCGGAAATGTGACCGTTACGCGCGGAAAAGTGACCGTTACGCGCGGCCGGAAGGGAAAAGATATAGGCGGAGAAGAAGAAGGAAGAAGAAAGCGATCGAGAGATTTTTGGAGTGTAACTGTCTTTAGCGAGCCAAGCGGAGGCTGGAGAGTAAAGTTCCGGTGACGTGTACGATGCTGTAGCATTTATGGCTTGTACCATCGCGCAGAGAGGTTGCACCTTGTTCCCGGCAATAACGGATGATTCCGATAAAGTCTAACGCTCGAGCGTGGGAGTGAAATGCACTCGCTCCAATAAGTGCTCTTTTGAGCGCGTGAGTGGGGATGAAACGTTGTTGAGAGTGGATGAAGGCATCTGTACGCCACCGTGGCGCCCACCTTTGAAAAGTGAAGAGTCGTCGATTGAGACAGGCGAAGGAGTAAAGAGGGGACGCTGTTTTTAGGAAAATTCTTGTTATACAAGAAAATTGTGCACGCTCAATTTGGGTGTCATAAATAAATTTGATCGATTATTAATACAATTTTTTTGTGATATCGGTAAAATTTGAGTTAAAAAATGATTGACATGATAAATAAATTTATATTACGTACTAAAAACATAGGATTTGCAGTGATTTTCGGCAGATATTTGAAAAAAAAATCATTAAGGATTTGGTAGAGATATGTCAAAATTATGTCAAAAACACTTTGACACGAATTACTTAATACGAAATGATCGATAAATTTGTGTCAAATTCGTGTCAATCTCATAATTTTTTTGTAGTGGTGAGTAATTTGTTCATACTAAAAATTGACCAAATTTATGTATGATACAAAAAATGGAGTGTGTGAACTTGTTTGGTAACACTGAAATTGTCTGAATCTATTAATTATGCTGAAATTTATGAAATTCTGATTAAAGGGATTGAATTGGTCAATTATGTTGATTTATGAAAAAATTATATTTAAAATACTTTTTATTAATAAGATAAGGAAAAATTATTTGAAAAATAGTTAAAATGATTTTCTATAGTAACTTCACTCAATACAGTCAGAAAAGTAACTTCAATCTTTTTTTTCTTTCAATTCAGCGTGCCAAAACAAAAGTTACATATTTGATGAAAATTTGGTTAATAAGTTTGATGAGTCGAAAAACACGATCATCAAACAGGCTCTATGTGTACATAAAACGTGGGGGAAATTTCCGAAATAGGAGTAAAAAAATTTGAAAATTCCAAAATAGGACTGTCATGTTTTTATTCTCAAAATAGGAGTAATTACTGCCAAGTTTAGAAATATTGTCATGTTTAAAGTCTGATACTGCCAAAACATGACAGTAATTAGTCATATTTAAAGAATAAAAACATGATAGTCCTATTTTGGAATATACAAACGTTTTTAGTCCTATTTTGAGTAATTTCTCTAAAACATGTTTTTTTCCTTAGACGAGTACATATCGTATACTCTCCCCGTATCATATTAGTTGCAACATTGAAATTTACACACTATTCATGTACACTATTTTGACTACATTTTATTTATTAATGTATGTGAATTATTTTTTTTGAAAAATATTGTTGAATTCATCTCCTTATAAAGTTTCATAATTTGATTTTTATTTTTTTTTTACTAATAGAGAATTAAATATAATAATAGTCAAAGTTGTGCATGAATAAGCGTGAAAAAGGAAATCTCTCAACTAAAAAAGAAGGGGGGCAAATAGTATATGCTGCGCAGTACGTACTCCGTAATCAGTATATGTTTACTTAACGGTGAATTTGGTCAATCTTAGGGAGGACGTTACGTTAATGAGAAACCAAATTAGATACTTTAATCACGGCTAAGGAAATGTCTCTTTCAATCTGTCGCCATTAACACTTGAAACGTGCGAGATTATTTAAGTGAAATGATTGAGTCGTGTAATTTGCTACACTTTTCTTAAAAATAACGCACTCTTTATGTCCCTAACTAATTTACGTGCAAATTAGAATTGTCATTAGCAGTGGGTTGGTAAATTGAGACTATGCATCACTTGAAAATGTATGGTGTCAGTGTATTCGTCAAATTGGCTTCAATTTCTTGTTTGTGAATCTCTTGGTCCAAAGGGTGGAATCTCCCATTCCAGGAGCCCCCATACCCCGATCCGACAGGATTTTTGGGAGGGATAGTTTGTGGATCTCTTTATTCTATTGATAGTTGTCATAACAAGTTACTGGATTGATTGTAAAGAGAAGTAAAAAATAAGTGTGATTTCGATATCTCCTATTAAAATTTTATTTCAATTTTTATTTTGAGACACGTAAATAAAAATTGTCATATATGGTGTCTATCAGATTATAAACACTACTCACATAAGCTTAATATTGTTCACTAAAATATAGTCTTCTTCCAAAAACAAGACCATATGTTTGGTTTATAAACTAGTTGATCCTATTTTTGGAAAGAAGTTACGTTTTAGTCCTATTAAGATAAATCTCTCAAGATTTTTTCACCAACCATTCATGTACCCTTTTATTATATAAGTAATAAGTATATAACTTCGCCCGTAGCAATGAGCAGTCACATTGCGGAGTTGTAAATTATACTTCGTATACTTTTATTTTCCGCTTTGAATGCACTTTTATTGTATTCAATGTAGTCATTTCCAAGCAAGGGTAGAGCCAAGAGAGATTTTCTTAAAAAATAAAATGAGACAATATTAGCGAGACGGAGAGAGTAATTCATAAAAAACTGGTATCAAAATATAAAGTTAGTAAGCGTATTTCTGAATATTATTTATTGGTTCGATATTAGTTTTAATGTCTTAAATTAGTGGTTTTTTTTAAAAAAGTGACTCCATTTTATTTTTTTTCTACACTCCATTTTAAAAAGTGGCTCTATTTTATGTATTATTATTGGTTCATCGAAGAAAGTTTGTATTATTTAAAGTTATTTTCCCTGTTTATTATTTTAAGGTGTCATAAATAACCGTTCGTTTAGAAAATTATTGAAATAAACATACTATAATTATAGGATATTATTTTTTAATCTGTGACATAAATATTATTTTTCTAAACGAACGGTTATTAATTTTCTAAATGAACGGTTATTTATGTCACTTCATTTTCTAAATGACCTTATTTTTATATTAATTAGAGATTATAGATATAAAATGGTAAGGACCAAGTGGCTCTGACTTTCTGGGTCCGCCACTATTCCCATTTTAGAGTACATTCCTCCAAAGTTGAATGCCTAAGAGTCACCCATGCCCCAACCCGACAATGCATATGACATATGGAAGGATGTAAATCACGATATCTCCGTCTGCCCATTGGTAGTCGACTTTATACTCATGTGTAACAGAGGTTCAATCCATCACGCATGAGCTATAACTTTCACACGATCGTTGCAGATTTCGAACCTCGATTATTTCTTCAATTCTCCCAACACTCAAACAACTGAGCTACCTATGCGGGTCCTATTTTAAAATACATATGCATATACAAAGAGTCACAGAGATATCAAATGTACATAGGGTGTTATCAAATGAGATTTTCATAATGAAAATTATGCACGTTGGGACATCGGGTGCTTTAAATATTACTCCGTATATTATACGGAATATTATACGTAGTAATTCATTGGTCACTTTTTTATGCCATATTCAACAAATGTAAGGATATAAATATTGTACTATATTAATTAAATAATAATGAATGCCAGTAGCTTCTCCTTCTAATTTGAAATATACTTATAGGTAAATTATCTATTTTTATTTATTTATGAAAAACAACACTTCACTACTTATAGATCAAAGTAGTTGTTTTTTCATAAACAATGCAAATACAAATTTGTATTGATTGATGATAAATATCTAGACACATTTCAATATCTCACTGTAAAATGGGATCTAGAGGCTCATTCTACAAGACTACAACAATGAAAATGTTTAGGGTTCTTGGATATCTAAACTGTAGACCTCATAGGTGAATTAGTCCAAAATCTTATTTAGTAGTTTAATAATTCATCATTAACAAACAACGTTTCATCGTAGTGTGCTAAATTTAAAAAGAATTTATCACCATTATGAGTCATACCAAATTAAGTTAATAAATTTGATTAAAATCCAGACAAGTGCAGAAAAAGCTTGGTACACACAGATATACAACTGCGTTCTAGGAAACAATCCATAGGATGGCCACAATCATAAAAGAAAAGAAAGATATACCAGAATAGCATCCACACCAAAACCAAATTAGAAATTGCCCTAAATAGGAGTAAAAACGCCTTGAAATTCCAAAATAGGAGTATCATGTTTTTTATTCCTTGAATAGAAGTAATCTGCCAAGTTTGGAAAAAATGTCATGTTCAAAAGCTTAGTAATGCCAAATTTGGCAGAAATTTACTCCTATTTAGGGAATAAAAAACATGATAGTCCTATTTTGGAATTTCAAAACTTTTTTACTCCTATTTAGGGAATTTACTCAAACAAAATTCTTAAAAATATACGGAGTATATGATACTCAGTCCTCCCAATTTTGACATCCTTTATCAGGCAGGCACCTTTAGAAAATAAGGTAAGGTAAGGTGACTATGGCAGGCACCTTTAGTAACTATGGCAGATAAAAAACTACGATAGTATATTGTTTGGTTTTGTGCGTTTAATAGCACTTGTCATGTACTTCCTAAATATAAAACTATTATTTATATCAATAAATATAATATCACTATCATAAATAGCTTTAGTCTAGGCTTGATACACAAGTAGAATACATTTGTGAGAGAGAGAATCTCAATATATTGTTGGTGTTTGTTTGGCTTCATCCATTCTTGAAATGTGATAAATGGATTGTCATTTTGGCAAGTTATTATGGTTAGAAATAAACTTTTAGCTAAAATTACAAGTGTTGTTTTGAAGCTTGACAAGACTTGAAACTACATCCTTATCTTTTATTGGAGTTTTTTTCTTTTTTATATTGAAAAATAAATAATGCTTCCAAAGATCAATGCAAGTTCTAAAGACTTTCAAATATATAAAATTTTATGGTGAGCTTTTATAATACAAATGTATAAGATGAATAAATTAAGGAATTTTATCAATTCAGGACCTGAAAGATAGATAAATTATCAATTCCGGACCTGAAAGATAAATTGTATCGGTATAAAACCCGAATGATGGAAAACTATCAATTTAAGACCTAACATTTCATTTAGTTTAATAAAACTAAATGATATTTAAAAATTTTGAAATAAAAAAAATAATAAAATTCATGACAACTTAGGTTCTAGATTGATAGTTTTCAATCATTCAAGTCCTAAATTGATAATTTTCCATCATCCAGGTCCTATATTGATACAATTCATCTTTCAGGTCCTGGATTGATAAAATTTCATAAATTAATAATAAATACTCATTCATAACGAGCAGCATTACATGTCAAATAAAACTACTTACCCTTCCTGTTTACATCCATCAACAAAAGAATCACATCATTGAATACATAACAGCAGAGGAAATATTGCTGATGAGGTCCTTATTACCTGAAAGGGGAACCACAGTTAGCCTTCTTTATGGCTTGTTTGGACTGTAGGAACTTTCTCTTCTCCGTCTCCATTTACAGATGCATCTAGAAAAGGTGGCTTTGCAGCTCCATAGTAAAAGAATGCGATTACTTTTGACAGATCATCTGACGTTCGAAGTGCTACACCAAGCAAAAAAAATTATAAGAACCATAAGTGGATTGAATTGATGTTTGAATCTAAATCAAAAGCCCATTTAGTATGACCTAAACAAATATAGCTTAAGTGACTAAATATGTTGAAGTTTATGAATTTGTCACTAGATCTGTCAAGTTATTTATAAAGTTATTGAAAATAAAATTTTAAATAAGTTAAAGAAAATAAGATCTAAAAATGAAGGTAGAAGCACCTCATGCGCTACTTTTTCTCATCGACTGCCAGACGGCCAGTGCAAGGAGATAAATAAGTTAGTGCATTGTGGAAAAATGTAAAACAAACTTACCTTTAGTCTAGGCTTGATACAAGCTTACCAAACGGACATTTAGTCTTGAATGATTTATAAGAAAGACTTGGAGTATATCTTTACCTTTTTCGCGGTGCAATATTTTTCCAGATTTGGTGAATATGAGCTCAGGGAAAATAGATACGTTCAGAGCAGACACCAAATCATGCTCCACAACAGCATCAATGGCTAAACACTATCAAGTAAAACCGTCGATGATGAAGTATTTAAAAGCAGAAGAATAAATTAAAAACACTAAATTTCTGCCAAAATGGTACAACACGAAACAGGAAACATCAACAAACAAATTTAAATTTCACTTTAAATTATAAAAAAAATCATAAACTTTCACTTTAATTTACCCTAGGTGATGGGAGTCTGCAATTCCAGAAAATGTGTACAGCCTTCTCCAATTCATTCCTTAACTTCTCATTTTCCTTTGGCCTATAGAGATAAAAGGAGGTGAAACTAGATTATAATTTGATATTACAAGTTTGAAAAAACTAGGAAACGTCCCATGTGAAACTCACATAATATCTAATTAAGATTGCTACTGAAATACACCTAATTTTGCTCTCATTTATCCACATTTGGCATTCCCTGTTAAAAACGAAAGAAAGTTAAAACTGATAAAATATTAAAATTTATACTCCTGTATCAAGTGCACTCTTCAAATCAATTGATTCTGGCTTCTTAGCAGATAGAGTATCCAAATGGTAAAAGTATGCTTGGTTGGTAGAGCTTATTTTAGGCTCCAAATAAGTCACCAGTTCTGTTTGGTAGATAAAGGAACAGATTAAAAAGTATCTTATTTGATAGGAAAAAGAAACTCCACTAACCCCACCCAATAGCATCCTGATGAAAAGGTTGCTGCAGTTGTGTTTTAGTTTACCTTTTCGTCTAATAACCCTACCTTTCTACAAAATAACTTCAATATTAGCAATAAGATATATCCTTTTATATGTTCCCACATGTATCAGCTACTTCACATAATTATTACTCATTTTCATTAAGAAAAGCAGTTTGAGAGTGAGCGAGTCATATTATATTTCCCTTTTTGCTAAACAAATCTCAACCACACAGTTTTCATTTTCTTACACAGTGTGCTAAGTCACAATGAGACTTTATTTAGGGAACGGAGGTAGTAGCTTTTGCAATTTTCTTTCCAAATGTGAATATATGGTAAATCTGTAACTTTTAATTAATGCATTGTAAATGAAGTTGGAACAATAGCTTTAGAGCACCAAATTATCTTTCCAACGAGGTATAATACGCTCTAAACGGAAGAACACACAGCAAGATATGAGTGTCACAAATACTTAGCCTTATCTTTATGATTTAGCGTTTTCAGCGTAAATAGAGCACTTTTAGCGTAAATACAGTGTGCTAAGTCAAAATGAGACTTTATTTAGGGAACGGAGGTAGTAGCTTTTGCAATTTTCAACCAAGTGTGTGAAATAAACTTTTAGCCTCTTTGAGGTCTCCAAGAAGTATCAAAGAAATGGGAATTGGAATTTGCAGCCACCTTTGTCATCTAAATTTGAGTGTGCACTATGCACTCGATTTTTTAAATCACTAATACTTGCACACCAAATTAGAGAATTTGTACCATGTTTTTTCCTCAAATTAAAGCTTATCCCCATTACCAGAATTTTTTCTAACTTTGTGGTGAAAATATTGTTGATTTGAAAATTAGGGTGTGAACTAAAAACTGGATAAAATTTTGAGGAGCAGGTTCCAATTCCCTACTATGGAAAAAGACTGATTTAAAAAGCAAATGAAATGAAGAATAGAAATAGTCCAACATCCTTATATAAACTAAGGAATACGGAGTAATAAATAATATCAATGGTGAAGAATTACACAGTGTTCCTGTTATCATACAGATAAAGTAGCACTGATTAGAGATGTATCCTCAAGAAAAAATATTAGGAATGGCACATACTTAGTAGTCATTTATTATTCCATTTTCATTTTCCTGGACATATTGGATGTTTGGGCTCCTAAATATGCGTTAGGATCAATATGGCACAGATTGGATGTTTGGACATACAAAATGATCAGAGATGTATCCTCAAGAAAAATTATTAGGAATGGCACATATTTAGTAGACAATAACTAGACATTTATTACTCCATTTTCTTTTTCCCAGACATATTGAATGTTTGGACTCCTAAATATGGCACATATTTAGCACTGATCATTAACCACTTATACCTAGTTTAGGATCAATATAATTGTGTATTCCATAATAAACTTTACAAAAACAACAAGACACGGAAAAAATTTAATCAATATGACAAAGACATATCACCAACCTCATATAACGGTTATGAACAAGGAGAATCAAGGGACTGAAGTCCTTGAACACGGCTTCTTCCCAGTGTGGGGTGGTCAAGTCTTTAATAGGGCGAATATAATCATCATCTTGCCACACTATCTCATTTTCACTGTTAAAATCATCATTGTTATCGTCATCATTATCCTTTTTCACACTTTTTATGGTAATCTTATTAAAGAACTGATCTAAGTTGAAACCCCTCCCCTCTGCATCCTCTGGCCAATCAGGATCTTCTTCTTCCACAACAAGAGGGTAATCCGCCAAAAGCTTGTTTATTCTTCTCTGCTTCTCATCCATGTCTGTTTCTTTTTCTTCTTCTTTGATCTCAGGATATGTGTCCATAACTTTCCTAATCTTTCTCCTCCACTCGAGCCTCTCTTCCTTATCCATTACAAAGAAATCATCATCAACCTTTTCATCACTCTTATCTGATTCATAATCTTCATCATCTCTATCATTCCCATTGTGAAATTTGAGTAATTCTTCTATTTTTGAAGCTCTTAGTCCACATTCTCTAAAATTTGCATCCTGTTATCCTGACCCAATTGTTATGCCACCTCATTTCGACAAAATATAAAAAATACAACATGAATATGGACTGGTGTTCCAATAGGACAATTTTAGGAGGGAATCCCAAATCTTAATTTTGTATCAGACTACTAAGTTCAAGCAATCAAATGAGAATAGTCATCCACCAAATATGAAAATATAAATTCAGGTATGTAACCACAAACCTTAGTTCCAACTTCACTAAAAAATTACTAAAATTAACCATTTAAGTGGCATACCAAAAGAGATGAAGAGCTGAATAGTGGCAGCCATAGAGGAGTTAAAATCCGTAACCTCGAGGGAAGAATCGTGGACATTCTCTGTTGGTTTCTCCAGAATGAAGAAGTTCCATTTCTCGATAGAGAGGACAAAAATGGCGTTCTTACAGCAAGTTGCTGCAGTTCCATTTTTTAAGCAAGAATCCTTCAAGTATAAACTGACACTGAATGGGAGAATATATTACTGCTTACAATATACGGGTAAGACCTACAGGTCGCAGAAGCATAGAAGAAGCGAGTAGGCTACGAAGTAGACGGGAAACAGACAACCACAACCACTTTAGTAAGTGTTAGCACAGTTTTATTTTAGTAACTAAAGTGTTGGTAAATTTTAGGAGTAAGTGCTGGAAAGGGAAGGTGAGCCTAAATGTTACAAATAATTTCAAATACGGAGTACATTTTATTTAGTCCTGTTGAAAATAAATTGATTAAGATTTGCCAAAACGGGGAGGGAATGAACATCCGCTTTTGAGTTCGCCGCAGCTAGGGTTGCCGACTCCTATAGGCTGTAGTGTTGAGCTTCTAGGGTTGCGGTCTCAGAGGACGCCTAGTTTTTTGTCCGGCGGTGCTTCGCTCAGGCAAGTACGGCGTCGAGAAAGTCTTTGTTATTGGATGCAGAGGAAATCACATGGAGAATTTTGGTAGGGAAGAGTCAATAAGCATCTTATCGTGGAATTGTGGAGGACTGTACAAAAAGATGACGATTAGGGTGTGGCGGATGAGCGGCGGGCGCGTCCCCCTCCCGAGCTGCCGCCATGGAGTGCAAGCAAATATAGGGTTTGGAAGAAGATGAGTGAACTCTATTTTAATTGTGTTTTATTAAGTTTGTGTTTTTCTGTCGAATTGTGTGTTGTTTTGGACGTGTTCTTTTTTCCTACCAGAGAAATTCTTAAATTTAGGTTAGGTGATGAGAAATCTAGTTTGCCAGCCATTGGCTCAGTGATGCCCATTACAGGATCAACGAATGTTATTGCTTCTACAGAGGTGATAGATTCTCAGTCTGGTTCGAGGGCGGATGGCAAACATAAGGCTTTTTATCGTTTTGTTTACTCCTTTTTCCTTGATTGCATTATCAGCCATGTGACGAACGTTATTTTGATTTAATATATTAGTTGGATTTGATGATAAAAAAAAATTGCCAAAAACGACAGTGAATAAGTACCTTTTTTAGAATAAAACAATGATAATCTTGTATATGAACTTTATTTTTTTGTCCTATTTGGGGGATTTTGTCTCTATTGTTTGCGTTCCTTCTTGACCCTCCTATGAATAAATCCTGGCTTCACTCCTCATAAAATGGAAATGCTTATCTCAAGCCAAAGTTTCAAGTTTCCGTCGTAGTCTATCACGACTCCTATTGCAATTTCATTCCGATTCACCGTTGGATATATTCGGGACCGAGGACATGCCAAATCCGATCAAAGCATAAATTTGGTTCCAAAAGATGATCAAATTGGGCTTGTAAAGTGTCCAACTTCTCAAACCTGGCTATCGAAGATGCAAAAGGTTCATTACTACCTCTGTTCTGGGTGGACAAGCTAAGGTCAGTCGAAGATGAAGAAGATTTGCTCAAATGACCGTCCAAAACTAAGTGCATCTTTAATGAGGCTTTGGATTGATAAAAATGGATTGCCACTTAGATAGAATAGATAATGGGTTAAAAATACTCTCTACAAAGGAGCGGTCTATATATCCTGTGGGGCTGAGTTGGATTTAAAAACCTCCCACACCGTCCAATACCATGTCTGATTTTAGCAAGAGGGTTAGACAGGATGACTCAGCATATAAGTTATTTTTTGTCAAATTTTTTTGCCATGATATGTAAAAATACAGTGAAATCACAAAATTGGGCGCAGCAAGAAAACACTCCAAAGAAAAGAATTATCATATGCATCTTCTGAAGCACTCTATAGCAAAGTAAAATACTTTCTAGGCATTTTCTTGAAGCAAACCCTAATAAGTGTCGAATCTTGACTTGGTCTTATATTGAAATCAATCTACTTAAAAAAGAATCTTACAAAACACTTGATAATTTTTATTTTTATTTTCACCTTATAAAATCTATCAATCATTTTCACCTAACGTGTGACATTTTATTTCGTGTGTTGATCCCTATAGTAATCAAAATAAATAAAGCTAAAATTTCTTACCGAATTGGATTGGCCGAAATTACTGAACAAGATTATTTTAGCTATTTTCATTCAACTTTTTCTTTATTTTATTAATAAGTTATATTTTGAATGATTTGTTATTATAATTCAGCAGAATCTATTAATGAAATCAAAATTTCACGAGCGATTATGACTTTGCACCCTATGTTTTGAATGATATTGAACTTTGCACCCTATTTCAAAATCATTAATGTATGTATCACATGAAGCCAAAAATTGTGAAGAAATGGAGTGCAATGTCAAATGATTTTATATTGAAACGGGATGCATACATTAATGACTTTAGAAATGAAGTGTAAAATGAAATATGGCCCAAGTTTATTAATCATTAACAATAATATGAGTGCAAAGTCAAATTCCCCAAGTTTCACCAATTTTATTTGATTTCACTGAAAATTTCTCATTTGAACTAGTTTTGTAACACGGTGAGATGAGTTCGATTCTTGGAATGAATTGAAGAATTGTTAACTTGATATACGTCTGGTTCTATCAATTTATGTGAGGAGTCGATAATAAGAATGGTTGCTATTAATCATTAACAAAAATATAATTAACTAATTTATGTATTACCGTAAAATCGTTAACACATTATAATAAAATACTCCGTATCAAACTAATAATTACTGCATCTCTAACAAACAAACAAGGTTACTATATGAAAATATTCTTTGTTAAAAAAGTGTACTATGAATGTTTTTTTCGATGGACGTATTATGAATGTTAAAAAATTATACGAAAATACTTTATTTGTTAAAAGAAAGTAAATTAGAAGATATAGAAAGTATGGTGTGATCTGATCTGAACTGATCTGATCTGGTCTGATAAACGTCTGGTCTCTGTGTATCTTATAACTTTGGAAGTCTGGTCTGATTTGGAACTGAAAACAGTTCAAGTAAAAACATACTCAATACTCATCAGAATAAATTTGATGCTAATAAAAGTGTATGAATGCTCTGAATTGACGAAATTGGGATTTTTAACTGAAACTACAAAAATGCCCAGATCGTACGGTCCAGACCCTACCACCAGATGTATGATACTCCCTTCGTCCTTTATAATGTGACCAAGTTTGACCGACACGAGAATTAATAAAGTAAAAAATGTATTGTTGAAGTTTTTAAGGAAAATGAGAATGTTGGAGCAAAATCGGTTTATGACCTGTTTGGATCGAGTGTTAACAGGTGTTAGTAAGTGTTTGAGGTGTTAATCAAAACCTTCCTAATACCTGTATTTACTACTACATATTTTTTTAACACCCCAATTTGGAGTGTAATGAAGTGTTGGACAACTTTTAGCCTTATGATTTCAAAAATAAAATATCATTCTTCCTCCGCAGCAAACAGGGACCCCGTTCTCTTCGCCTCTTGCAGCTCTTCTTCCAGCAAGGACTGTTCTTCTTCAGATCTTCTCCAGGTTTGTGTTCTCTCTTCCTCGGTTCTTCAGATCTTTTTTTATTCCAACAGAGAGTTGATGGATAGTGTACCCGGGGGTAGCTTATCCGAGGGGTTATTACGGGGAACAACAAGAGACAAGTCAGAGCAAATGAGTATAGAGAGAGAAGTGTATTAGAAAGTGTTCAGCGTTTTCAGCGTGGTTTACAACGGGGAAATGGGGGGCTATTTATAGTAGCAATAAATGCCGGACAGGGACACCTGTCAAGCGTCCATTGGCCGAGAGGTCACCTCAACTGGTTGGCGCTGGCAACCGCATGTGGCCGCATTTAATGCGGCTGTTGGATGGGACGTTGTACAGGGTACAGTGATCCATACGCATGTGGAGCGGATATTATGTCGGAAAAGGCACCCTCGGCAGTAGATGACTAGCCGAGGGCTCTGAGTACCGGGGACCCCCTTAGTGCCGAGGGCTCCAGTTGCCGGGGGCTACTGATTTTCGCCGTTTTTCCCAGTAACTTTGTTTTCCTGTCTTGGTCCTCCTGTGAGAATTAGAGCCTTCGGCCAGGGGGGCGATGGCACCCCTGGTGCGCATTGTGGGCTGCTTGGTACTCTGGGCGCTGTGATTTGGGTCTGTTGTGCTTTCTGGGCCTGTTGGGCCTTCATTGGAGTAGTAGGAGTCTGTGGGCCGGGGGTTCCCGGGCCATATACTCCATCAGGAGTCCCTCACTCCTTTTGCCGAAAGGTACTTGAGGGAAAAGGAGTAATTGTGTTTGTCCTCTGCCGTTGTTCCGTTGTAGTTTGTGGTGTTGTGGGTAGTTTGCTGTTTGTTTATTCTGCCGAGGGCAGTCCCTCAGTTACCCACATGTCGGGACTTGAGGGGTCATGTTTGTGATTTTTGTGATTTTTCCCGAGGGGGTTCTCCAGTCCCCCACTCCTTGAGGCACTTGTAAAGTGGTGAAAAGGAGTAGAGTAGTCATGCTGCTGATTTGGGCCGAAAGGTGACGGTTTTCGTTTCATTTTGGGGGGATGCCTCGTTAAAAACCTCATTAGGAAAAACCCTATGGGAAAAAATCCTAATGAGGGAAAAAGAGTGCACCGAATTCCCCCAATGATGAATCGAAAGCGTGAAGCCCTGGTCTGAAATGGAGTACAATGTTGATGCCGAAGGCTATCCTTGCCCTGAGGGTTCATGTGTTGATTAGCCGGAGGCTTGCTGTCGATACCCTGAGGGCTCATGTGTTGGCATGTGGGACACCTCCGGGCAAGGTCTGCACAATCTCGGGCCATCGTAGGCCAGAAGTAGCCCTGGATTATTAGCCTTCGGGACATGGAGAAGGGTCCATGGTGAGCTGAGCAAGTGCCACTGTGTACTTCCTCCATCGCCACTTCGGCTTCATCTTGATGAAGGCACCGAAGTAGTGTCCCGTTGTAGGACCTTTTGTAAAGCCTCCCATCTTCGATAATGTAGCTGGGAGCCCTCAGCTTTGCCAGCTTGGCGCGGGCCTCATCCGCGGGCAGTTGCCCTGTGGTGATGAAGGCAACAATGTCCGAGATCCAGTCCTCCTGTCTTTGTTGTATATTCATGACGGGGCTAGCATGTATGCTAGAGAGGCTGAGTTCTTCCACTTTGGCAATCTTCGAGATATGCTCAGGGGATTATGTCGAGAGCTTTGATAAAATGTCGGCCTCAGAGTTTTGAGCCCTCGGTATTTGAGTAAGAGAGTGTGCCTCAAATACCTTAAGCAACTCCTTGG